TTGGGAGGGGGGGGTAAAGGGGTTTTGTGGGTAAGGGGCTTGGACTTCCAGCAAGCGTGCTGAGCGTTTTAGATAGGTGAATGGAGACGAAGGTACTTGGGACCGACGATCTGTTGAGTGTGGCGGGGAAATATTTAGTGAAGGGATTCAGGGAAACCGGGTTTTTTTATATACGGACTTGAGTCCGGGGAAAGGGAAGTACAATCCCTCTTTTTAAAAGGGGGGGTTTTGGGGATTTTGGCAGTTTGGGGGGATATTTTGTGCATCTTTAAGTGTTGCTTCTAACTTTTGTATTCTGAACCTCTGCAAAAACAGTAAAAAATGTGCGAGTGTGGTGAAAGTGTTGAAATGATGAAAAAAAAGTATTTTTTTTTGGGGGGGATTTTTTTTTTTTTTGGGTCACCCTGCCTGGGGTGGGAGACGGCCGATTTGTTGAAAAAAAAAAAAAAAAAAAAAAAAAAAAAAAAAAAAAAAAAAAAAAATTATATTATTATATAATATATATATATAAATATTAAATTAATAATAATAATTTAATATATATATATATAAAATATTTAATTTTTTTTTTTTTTTTTAAAGTCCCCCATCTCCCACTGGGCAGAGTGACCCAAAAAGAAAAAAAAACCCCAAAAAAAAAAAAACTTTCTTATCATTCAACACTTTCCCCTCACCATATAATCACGTTTTTGCAGAGGCACTCAATACAACATTTTTCAAATCCCCCCAAACTGCCAAAACCCCAAACCCCTCCTTTAAACCCCCTTAGGGGGCCGTGCCCCTTGATTCTCGGCTTTACTTGAGGGTCCAAACGGTACTCTACGTCAGAGTCAGCTCACCAGATAAACGTGAGCGGTAAATTTGGGCTTGATATTAAGAATACATCGTGTGTTGTTAGTAAGCCCCAAAGCAACATTAGGTATCTTTTTTCGAAACGTTTCGCCTACACGTAGGCTTCTCATCGAGAAGAAAAGTTGTAGAAGCAGAAATACTTGAAGATGATGTAATCAGTCCCTCACCCTTGAAGTTTTAGGTGGCGCCCCAGTCTGGGAAGGTATTGTCCCCTATCTGAAACAATATAGAGTTGAAGTGGGGGATGGAGCCTTATATAACGCCAGGAGGGGAATTTTGGCCACTATTAGAAGTAAGAATGTCGTCGTTGGAAGGTCAGGTCCCTCTCAAATCCAGCCATTCTCACTAGTAGAAGTTGATAAAGTTGATTTCAGGTCTGTACCAAGATACCCTTGTGTTGCGGTGTCTGACAGAGTGAACATTCAAATGGTATAAAATACCGACAGGTTGTTAGGTAAGACACATATGCAACAGTTAGGTATCTTTATTTCGAAACGTTTCGCCTACACAGTAGGCTTCTTCAGTCGAGTACAGAAAAGTTGATAGAAGCAGAAGATACCTGGCATTATACAAGGCTCCATCTTGTCACTTCAACTCCATATTGTTTCAGACTATGGGACAATACTCTTCTCCAGACTGAGGGACTGACCACCTCAAAACTTCAAGGGTGATGGACTGATTACATCATCTTCAAGTATCTTCTCCTTCTATCAACTTTTCTGTACTCGACTGAAGAAGCCTACTGTGTAGGCAAAACGTTTTGAAATAAAGATACCTAACTGCTGCATATGTGTCTTACCTAACAACCTGTCGGTATTTTATACCATTTCAACAATACATCTATGTGGTATGTGTGCACCATATAAAACAAATCCTGCAGCACACAGTGCATAATGAGAGAAAGAAACCGAGACCATAATTTTCGATTAAAACAGCAACTTTGCAGTGTTTTTTTTTGTATGTTTTTTATAGTTGTATTTCCTATTTCTTGGTCTCAATTGATAGTATGGAAGACATATTACAGAAATAGAGATGATTTTCATTGGTTTTAGTAATGGAAATGGCTTGAAACTGACCTCAAAGTAGAGGAAATGTTAAATTTTTGCTGATGTTCAAGAGTAAACAAATGACGTCACACGTCTAATACACACCAGCTGGTGGGTCTAATATACATTCACAAATATGCTGATATTATTTATACAATTTCTACAATATTGCATAACAGTTAATCTTCTATTTTTTGGTTTTAATAAAAATTCATTATGTGAATAAAAAATCAAAATTAAATTCATTTGTAAAGCCTGAAAACGTAACTAATGAACAGAGGAAATGTTAGTTTAGTGCCAGGAATGCCTGCATTGTTTATTCTGGACCCTATTTTGAAATTGGAGTATTTTGAACTTTGCATTAAATTGGCCAAATTACCAATTTCCAATCACTTTATTTTGTAGTTGAAACAGTTGACTTGGCGAATTCTTGTGCTCAGTCGATAGAACAGAGGTAATACTAGTGAAATAGCTAAGAATTTGGTCGACTGGAGTAATGTAATTGGCCTAAAATGGGAGTCAAAATCCGCAAAATCGCCAATGCGTAAATGTTGCTGACACATGAAAATTCGCGAGAACATAATTCCCTCAATTTTCCATCAAATTTCGTATTTTTTTATTTTATTACCTTCAGAAAAAGATTCTCTACCATTTTATAAGAAAAAATAACAAAATTATTTTTTAAAAATTCTTGGACACTGGTGCACCCTTTGAAATTTGGCCTCTGGACCCTGAAAGGGTTAACGTGCAGGCACCGTGTTTCCCACCTCCAGGACTCAAGTTTGGCTAACCTGTCTCCCTGAATCCCTTCACAAAATATTACCCTGCTCACACTCCAACAGTTCATAAAGTCCCAAAAACCATTAGTGTCTATTCACTCCTAACACCCTCGCATATGCCTACTGCACGTCCAGGCCCCTTCCACACAAAACCCTCTTATACCCCTACCCCTCTACTACAGATTTATACACCCTCCAAGTTATCCTACTTTGCTCCATCCTCTCCAAATGACCAAACCACCTCAACCCTCTGAATAAAACTTTTATTAACTCCACGGCACCTCCTAATTTCCACATTATGAAGTCTCTGCAAGTTTACACCACATGTTGTCCTTAAACATGACATCTCCACTGCCACCAGCTTCCTCTTTGCTGCAGTATTTACAATCCATGCTTCACACCCATATAAGAGTGTTGGTACCACTATACTTTCATACATTCCCTTATTTGCCTCCATGGATAATGTTCTTTGTCTCCACAGACTCCTCAGTGCACATCTCCCCTTTCTCCCCTCATCACTTCTATGGTTCACCTCGTATTTCATAGACCCATCTGCTGACAAGTCACTCCCCAATACCTGAAGACGTATATTCACTTCCACCATACCAACTCCCTCTTAAACATTGGCATTAATATTGATTTTAACAAGTAAACCAAAGAAAAGAACCTCATGTCAAGGAAATCAATTGGCAACATTGTTATATAAAGATTCTTTGAATATTTTGGCTTTTGAAATTAAGATGATGGAACACACAGTATTGAAGCCATATTTCTTCAACCTTTTCAGGGTCCAGAGACCAAATTTCAAAGTGCGCACCAGGGTCCAAGAATTTAAAAAAAAAATGTTATTTTTCTTATGAAATGGTAGAGAATCTTTTTCTGAAGGTAATAAAACAGAAAGTACAAAATTTGATGGAAAATTGAAGAAATTATGCTCTCGAGAATTTTGATGTGTCAGTGATATTTACAAATCGGCGATTTTGCCAAATTTGACTCCCATTTTAGGCCAATTACATTATTCCAGTCGACTAAATTCTTAGCTATTTCACTAATATTACTTCTATTCTATTCATTGAGCACAAGAAATCGCCAAGTCAACTGTTTCAACTACAAAATAAAAATGATCGGAAATTGGTAATTTGGCCAATTTAACAAAAAGTTCAAAATATTCCAATTTCAAAATAGGGTCCAGAATAAACAATGTAGGTATTCCTGGCACAAAACTAACATTTCCTCTGTTCATTAGTTACGTTTTGAGGCTTTACAAATGAATTCCATTTTGATTTTTTATTCATATAATGAATTTTTATTCAAACCAAAAAATAGAAGATTTACTGTTATGCAATATTGTAATAATTGTATAAATATCATCACCACACTTGTGAATGTATATTAGACCCACCAGCAGGCATGTATTAGATGTGTGAGGTCGTTTGTTTACTCTTGAACATCGGCAAAAGTTTAACATTTCCGCTAGTTTGAGCTCAGTTTCAAGCCATTTCCATTTCTAAAACCAATCAAAATCATCTCTATTTCTGTAATATGTCTTCCATTCTATCAAATAAGACCAAGAAATCGCAAATACAACTATAAAATACATACGAAAAAACACTGCAAAGCCGCTGTTTTAATCGAAAATCACGGTCTCAGTTTTTTTCTCTCATTATACACTGTGTGCTGCAGGATTTGTTTTGTGTGGTGCACACATACCACATAGATGTATTCTCTCATATCTAGGCCCAAATTTACCACTCACAGCTTATCAGAGTGAGCTGAGCTCATGACATAGATCTACAGTTTGGACCCTGATCGTAAAGCCGTAGATTTACAGCACGGACCCTGAAAGGGTTAAATATGGCTAATTTCATTAATATTAAAATTTACAAAAAATATTTTTAGGCCTGGAAACTAAATTGTCTAAAGAATTAGAAGGCACAATATCATGACTGGAACAATACACAAATAACCCACACTTAGGACTACATGTGCAACTAGTCAATGGTCCAAGTTGGACTGAAATGTTGTCATAAGTATCTTTCTCCTGCGTACGGGTTATTTGTGTAAATTGTTTACACATTCTTTGGCTAGATTTCAATGTGAGTGCCAAGTGCTGTGTTGCTGAACAATAACTGCTACCTGCCTCATACTCACCAAAGTGAAGAGTGAGAAATCAAAATCCATATTTGGAAGTTTTCTAAATTCAGAGTTATTTCGTTGAATACGAGAACTTTCAGAATTTTCTTTAATTCAAACAATCACCAGGTATCAATTATACCAAAAAATAGAGAAATTACTGTCAAGTACTATACTATACTAAGTACTATTTGTTAATGAAAGTTTAAAGACTTACCTCAACTCTGACTGTTAAGTTGTATTCCTTTATACTCTCATAATCTAATGGGTGGTTGACCTTGATGTCGGCCCAGGTGTCACCATTGTCTGGACGTTGTTGCAAGTAGAATGTATCATGCTTGTTGGTCTGTGCTGTGGAGCCTCGGATGATTCGATAGAACACTACTGGGTTATCCTTTATACCAGAACTGTAGTAGTATCGTTGTACCAGGGTGGGAATGATGGTCACATGTTAGCTTTTGAAGTAGACTAATTAAATTTTTGGCTAATCATTGAACAAAATGGTTAGTAGAAATTCTATATTTACATTTTTCTCAAACTTGATTTATCAAAACCCATGTCAGTTTTCATGAAAACAAACTGTACACAAAAAATAAAAATGTCTGGTTACTAAGTACTAGCTGAGCTAATGTTTAGGATTCCTACTACCTATATCTAATGCAAAATGTTCTCTTGGACATCTTTCTTTTAACTAATATATGACTCTTTCTTAGATGCCACACTATTTGACTATTTTTATATAATCTATTTGACACTAGTACTGTAAGCAAAGACAGAGCTAATGTTTCATATACAGGACTGAAAATGCAGCAAATATTCTGATACACAGTACTAAACTTGACTGCTGCATTAACTACTGTGCTCTATTTCCGAGTTAGCAACTATTATGCATCGGAGTCCAAAGTGCACTTCCTGCTCAGTTGATCTACAATGTGCATCTACTAAAGCCTAGAGTGTGTGTCTGTTATTCAGAATGTGCCAAAGATCTTCTGCCACAATTGTGCTGTACAAAGTGTCACTTCAACATCCTTATGATCCAAGAAATACTCAGCTGTCAAGGGAAATGTTTTAAGCAACTAATGGTGGGATAGGTATAAGTTTACCTCAACAGCATTAAATCATCTTGGAAGATGAGAATTTAAAGTGACTAAGGTGAGACCTATTACTTGGTTAGAGTGAGGCCAGATCAGATGGGTGCATCTTCTATTCCACTCGTACGCATTTTGCCGAAACTGGTGCTATTTAAGGCCAAAACGATCTTGACTAAATAGCTCCTGTGAATGGTATGGGCCGCCCAGCCTCTGTCCAGCCTAAAGAAACACTGCGGACCAAATCCTCAGCAAACTGAAAGTGCTATAAACTACAAGAACGGTGTCTTATGACAAAAAAAAAAAAAATAGCAACCAAACGAAAAGTCACATCAGCATAATAATCATAATGATTCATTTACAGGCACTGTACAGATAATAGCAACAGTAAAGAGCAAAACAAAAAACTGCACGTGCCATAACAAGAGACAATGAGCTTTGCTCAGATTCTTGCCGAGATTCTCTCTCCCTCATCATCATACATATAAGCATTCTCTGAACTAAAAGACAACCAACAAACTTTGGAAGCCTGCTTGTATCTTAGACCCTCAAGCCCTATGCCTAATTCACTAATTACTAATAAACCCTACTAATGCATAACTCCGGGCTACAGTTTAACCATTTCAAATAAAAAAGACAATACGTACAATAAAAGAAATCTTTAATATAATTTCTAACTATATATTTCCATTTTAATAAAACTTAAAAATTTAATTTAGAACTTTTATTCACTTCTAAAAAAAAATTAAACACTTATGCAAACTTAACTCATACCATTCACATAGCAAAGTAACACTGGTAAAAAACATGCTTTCATAACCCGTCCTTAGGGTGAACAAAACTGTTATGGACATTCAGGGCTGAGTTTATATTCAGAGCAGCTATTTATTGGTTCGTCAGGCAAAGTGGTCAAATGTGTGCAAGTTTAATTCATTCTTGTCGCAAAGTAATCAAACATAGGGGCATACTATACAAAATTAATACATACTGATGCCATCACAAATTTTGAATTAATAGTTTGTTGTTAATTCCTAACTACAAATAATTATTTTTAAATAGTGGCCAGTACTAAACCTAAAGCTTTGCTAGTGCAGTCCTGAAAGTAAAAAATAGGGTTTGAGCATATTTATAAAAAAAAAATTCACAAAAAATAATTAAAATGCAGAGTTACAGTGAAAAGTTTTAGTACAGAGGTAAGAATTAAGGAGTGTAATGGGAACGTGCAAGGCTAGTTGTTAGTCATGCCAGAGGCTCATGCAAATGGTACGTGCTATGGTGCTCATGCATGTTTGCTGAGGCAGGGCTTGGGAGCAACGGGTCAGCGTGCCAAATGCTCCAAATCTTCAAACAGCCCGGATATCTGAAGCAGCACACCACACTCAGTGCTCAGGTAATACCTTATGCAGACACTCTTAGGTATTCTTTCATGAATACCTCTACATAAACATCTTTGACTGCAATTTGATTAATGACTTTTCAATAAAATGTTTGAGCATGGGAACAAGGGATAAAACCCCTTTTATATATTAATAGCAGTACTTTAGTAAAAGTGTTGGCATAAGTGAGTGTGAGGTGCCTGCAGGAGCAGACCATCGCGTGCGGGGCAGACAGGCCCAAAGGGTCTGGTCGAGCAGCACAACAGACCTGGCCTTCACTGAGATAACTCCTGCCCCTACTGGCAAGTTTTCCTTGATGTAAATGGGGCCATAGATGGACTGGGTCCATACAGGAGGGTTGTTGGCGCGATCCACTACATCAATCTGAACGTCCACCGTACGAGACAGTGGAGGGAACCCACGGTCCTGAGCTACGGCAGTCAGACGGTACGATTCTCGCTGTGCACAGTTGTGGAGAGAGCGAACATTAGGGTTAGTAATGTTAGTGTCTTTGTAGACTCTCTAAGCTACCTTTAGGAGACTTTAATGGCATAAACAAAAATGATTTAGGAAAAGAAAAAATCTGCCACAGGTTTAACTGCGCTGGAAACTAAGAAAAAAAGAGTTGTAGTACACTATAAGCGGCAGAGAGGGTGCTGCAAGGGGCGTGGGTGTTAGTACAGATTGGTTACCCTGGCCCGGCCCAGCAGACCCCCCTAGCAGCACAGCAACACTAGCTAGTAACTAGTGGGAGCTTGGTAGTGACTACACGGCGGCAGTAGAATTGCCTGGCGGGAGAGGCCTGGGAGGAGAGTTAATGGCCTGCTAGTGGCCCGCCCAGCATCATCCACCACCCACTACCAACCTGGCCTTGATGGAGTAGACGGTCTGACCCACACTAATATTCTCTGAGATCCTCTTGGGCTCATAGACCCGCTGATCCCACACGGGTGGGCGGTTGGCTCGGTCCACAATACTGAGACGAACCAGTACCTCCGAGGTGAGAGGAGTTTGACCCTGGTCCGTGGCCGTTACAATCACCTCGTACTCCCCGCGCTAATCACACACACAACATTCACCACATCCGCCACATGGGGGAGAACGAGTCACAAGGTCAAAATCAGGATAGGGTAAAAAAAAAAAAATGGCTCCAAACCTAGTGGAATAACACAGTTACAAATATTAAATTTAGGACATGAAAATACACATAAAACTTAATAAAAATTAAGGTTCAAAACATGATTACACAGGGAATTAAGCACAAATGGGAATATGAAGACAATTCCTGACAAACAGCAGGATTTTTCAAGGAATATTCACTCAAATGTCACATCAAAGTACATACCAACAATTAAACAATATCCCTAAGTATCTACCTTAATACGCGTATGTTAAAGGTAAGGCGGATGGGTTCCTACATGGCCTTGTACAGCACTGCTTAAACCCAAGATTAATGGGTCACACAATCTAATAAGGTAGAGGCTTGTGACTTTCATTACTCAGGATGTTAATGTATCAGAAGGGTTGAGGTTTTCTGTACTTTGTTAATATCAGCAAGGATTACTGTAAATGCCAAGGCATAAACATTACTAATTAAGGATGTAAAAAAGGTAAATTTATTCTGATACTTACTGGCACACATTTACTTACAAGAGGCAGACATGACTTGATTTAAAGTGGTAGAAAGAGAATAGTATTAATTAAAGTATGATACTCTATGCAGTTATAATTATTTTAAGTAAAATGCAGAACAGTGCCAAATCAGAAAGAATTCAGTATATTGTATTCAGCTTAATAAATTAGTTAACTTCCTTAAAGGCCAACCAAACATTTTTAAACAGAAAATAGGTTTAAATTCTTGAAACAAAATTAATGGAATTTTAAATATATCCCATTCCAGAAAAGAATAAGCAGTGCATTTTATATTAACTGCCTCTAGGTTGGTGTCTTGTTTAAATCAAAGATAAGTGACCATGCACACAGGTTAAGGGCACATGTTTTGTTCTACATTTACATGAGTGCTACTCACATTCTTAACCTCTCAAACATTTCTTTACCTACATTATGTTTTTTAAACAACAAATGTGTATTGTACAATTTACTATGAAACAACTAATAGTCTGCTATTCCATATAAGCTAACCTCAAGGTAATTCAAATTCTTTGGAAAGCTACAGAAAATACGTTAAGCTTAGTACAAAGAGTAAAACATTTTTCTGAACTATTCTGCTTCAAAATCAAACTAAATTAAAAAATCCTGATTTATATTTCACTTATGTAATAAAAACCCAGCTTATAGTTTTGTGCTAGAAGTAAGTTTCTTGACTTGTTTATGAAAAGTTTTTCATGTACCAGGTACTTTCCAAGGCTTTTTTTTTTTTTTTTACTATACTATTTATTTGTAACTTATTGTCTTCAATAAAGAAAGAAATCATCTCATTTGTACCCTGTATATATGCATAATACTGAATTGTGTAAGCTTTACATATCATTTAGAAGTGAACAAGAATTTTAGGATATATTTTATTTAAATTAATTTCAAGTCCTTTTTCATTTTTTAAATTCTATAAATACACATAATATTTAAATATGACTTCAAACAAAGGGTGAAAACAGAAAGAAAGAATTTATATAAAAGTACTATAAGAACAAGTGATAAAAACATAGCTTCAAGAACAAGAGAATTAAAGAGAACAGAGAATGGTCACAGTGCAATAAAATTCAATCAATTTTTATCAAAGTGCTCTTTTCTGCATTCACTTTCAACTATCTTCTTTCATACACTCTTCCAAACACCTCAATCAATTTCTAAAGCTTTTCTAATAACTTAACAAGTACCTGTCATTTGCACACAACAATTGTGACAACTATTACTTGAAAACTGGTTTGTTATCTTTTACAACTACTAATACTGTTAAAAATACAACAGCAGCTATCTATACATTAAATCGCTATGACAACATCAAACAAGTTTGCCAAGTCCCACACTTACTGCAAAAATTATCCCTTGTCAACACTCCCAACTTCACGTATTGCTTCACTCGTAAAAACTTGACAGCTTTCAGCAATTTAATACCTATTGTTTACAACAATTGCAACACTAACTACACTGATCCCTGTCACAAACCTTCTCCATAACCATAAATATAAGAAACAGCTAATTTTCCTTACTAAAGTATTGGTCATTTATAGCTCTCAAAGTAAATACTTCTCACGTATCCATTCCCATTCTATAAAAGATGCTTCAACCATACTTCCCATACACACTTTACCTACTCTCATAGATTTATTCCCTAGGTAGTAGGTTGGTAGACAGCAACCATTCAGGGAGGTACTACCATCCTACAAAGTGAGCGTAAAAAGGAAGCCTGTATTTGTTTTACATGATGTTAGGATTGCTGGTGTCTTTTTACTGTCTCGTAAACATGCAAGATTTCAGGTACGTCTTGCTACTTCTCCTTACACTTAGGTCACACTACACATACATGTACACATTTTTGTATACACACTCATCCGAGTTTTCTTTGATTTTATCTTAACAGTTCTTGTTCTTATTGCTTTTCCTTTCATATCCATGAGGAAGTAGAATAAGAATCTTTCCTCTGTAAACCATGTACATCATAAAAGTCCACTAAAATGCCGGAACAATGGGCTAGTAACCCCTTTTCCTGTAAAGCCTACTGAAAAGAAAAAGAAAACCATCAAAGTGGGATGCTTGAATGTGCGTGGATGTTGTGAAATGATAAGATGATTGTGGATGTTATGAATGGAGAAGAAGCAGATGTCCTGGCTTTAAGTGAAACAAAGCTGAAGGGGGTGGGAGAGTTTCAATGGAGAGGAAATAAATGGGATTAGATCAGGGGTTTCAAAGTAGAGTTAGAGCTAGAGGAGGAGTAGCAATAATGTTGAAGGATAAGTTATGGCAGGAAAATGAGGGAATATAAATGTATTAATTCAAGGATTATGTGGAGTAAAATGAGGGTTGGATGTGAAAAGTGGGTTATAGTAAGCATTTATGCACCTGAAGAAGAGAGAAGTGTAGAGGAGAGAGAGAGATTTTGGGAAATGTTGAGCGAGTACGTGGGGAGTTTTGAACCAAGTGTGAGAGTACTGGTGGTTGGGGATTTCAATGTTAAAGTGGGTACAAATGCTGTGGAGATAGTAGTAGGTAAATTTGGGGTGCCAGGGGTAAATGAAAATGGGGAGCCTTTAATTGAGCTATGTGTAGAAAGAGGTTTGGTAATAAGTACTACATATTTAATGAAAAAGGGGATAAATAAGTATACAAGGTATGATACAGCACATAATGAAAGTAGTTTGTTAGATTAAGTATTGGTGGATAAAAAGTTGATGGGTAGGCTTCAGGATGTACATGTTTATAGAGGGGCAATGGATATATTGGATCATTATTTAGTTGTAGCTACAGTTACAGTAAGAGGTAGATGGGACAAAAGAAAAATGGCAACAAGTACGAGAGAGGTGAAAGTGTATAAACTAAGGGATGAAGAAGTTAGGGTGAGATATAACCAACTACTGGCAGAAAGGTCGGCTAGTGCAAGAATGAGTAGAGAGGGGGGTTGAAGAGGTTTGGAATAGTTTTAAAAATGCAGTATTAGAAGGTGGGCCAGAAGTTTGTGGCCACAGGAAGGTGGGTGCAGGAGGAAAGAGGAATGATTGGTGGAATGATGAAGTAAAGGGGGTGATGAAAGAGAAAAGGTAGCTTATGAGAGGTTTTAACAAAGCAGAAATGTTATAAGAGCAGAGTATATGGAGAGTAAAAGAAAGGTGAAGAGAGTGGTGAGAAGTGCAAGAGGAGAGCAGACAGATGATGGAGTGGAAGAGGCACTGTCAAGAAATTTTGCTGAAAATAAGAAAAAAATTTGGAGTGAGATAAACAAGTTAAAGCCTACAGAACGAATGGATTTGTCAGTTAAAAACAGAGTAGGGGATTTAGCAGAAGGGGAGCTGGAGGTATTGGGTAGATGGCGGGAATATTTTCAGAAACTTTTAAATGTCGATGAAGGGAGGCGGTAATTTCATGCACTGGCCAGCGAGGTATAACATCTTTTAGGAGTGAAGAAGAGCAGGAAGGGAGGCGGTAATTTCATGCACTGGCCAGCGAGGTATAACATCTTTTAGGAGTGAAGAAGAGCAGGAGGGGGAGGCATTATGTAGAAAGACAGGGGGTAAAGCAGCTGGAACTGACGGGATCATGACAGAAATGTTAAAAGCAGGGGGGATATAGTGTTGGAGGGGTTGGTAATTTTGTTTAAGAAATGTATGAAGAGGGGAAGGTATCTAGGGATTAGCAGAGAGCATGAATACTTCCTTCATATAAAGGGAAGGGGGACAAGAGAGATTGTAAAAATTATAGGGAATAAGTTTATTGAGTATGGTAGGGTATTCTTGAAAGAATTAGAGGTAAGACAGAGAGCAGGATTGCAGATGAGCAAGGAGGCTTTAGAGTGGCCAGGGGATGTGTGGATCACGTGTTTACAATGAAGCATGTATGTGAACAGTACAGTAGGGCCCCACTTATATGGCAGGTTAAGTTCCAGGCTACCGCCGTAAAGCGGAAATCACCGTAAAATGGAACACCTTTTTTTCCACTTATAAATACATATAAATACTAGACAAGGTTACACTAACATATATTAAGTTAGCAATAGAACTAGGCATTAAAAAAGCAATAGAAAAGTAAAATACACATATAGTATACTCATTATTTACCTTAAAATATTTGTAGCCTTAATCTAGGGTGAGATGAGTAGTATTTATTGTAAGAAATCAAGTGTGGTAAGGCTACATACCAGGCCACCCCACCCATACATAATATTCTTTGACATTTAAGCATCCCAAAGTGATAAAATGCATATAGAGTTCACTCATTACTTACCATAAAATATTTGTAGTCTTAATGTAGGGTCAGAGGTGAGTAAATGAAATGAAATGAATGAGAGAGAGAGAGAGAACAGAGTAGAGAACAGAGCAAGACGTCTCATCTCTCGCCTGGACCCATCCTGGATAGATCTGTCATTTCAGCAGAGCCTTCAACAT